TCATAAAACTCAACACCAGACAACAACCCAATCAAAAAGTGGGCAGAGGACCTGAACAGACACCTCTCCCAAGAAGACATACAAAGAGCCAACAGATATATGAAAAGATGTTTGACCACACTGGCAATTAGGGAAATACAAATCAAAACTATAATGAAATACCATCTCACACCTGTTAGACTGGAGATTAGCAACAAGACAAGCAATAAATGTTGGCGAGGTTGTGGAAAAAAGGAAACTCTCATTCATTGCTGATGGGAATGTAGACTGGTACAACCACTATGGAAAGCAGTCTGGCGATTCCTCAAAAAAATTAAGAATAGAACCAACTTATGACCCAGCAATCCCTCTCCTGGGTATATATATGTACCCCTATGTTCATTGCAGCATTATTTGCAGTGGCCAATACATGGAAACAATCCAAGTGTCCTTTGATAGAGGACTGGATAAAAAGAAGTGGTACATATACACAATGGAATAATATTCAGCCATAAAAAAGGATGAAATACTGCCATTTGCAACAATGTCGATGGACCTTGAGAATATTATGCTAAGTGAAATGTCAGTCAGAAAAAGCTAGGAACCATATGATTTCACTCATATGAGGGATATAAAACTGAAACTCATGAACACAAACAGCAGTGTGGTGGTTGCCAGAAGGAAGGGGATAGGGCAGTGATGGCAAACCTATGACACGTGTGTCAGAGATGACACGCGAACTCATTTTTTTGGTTGATTTTTCTTTGTTAAATGGCATTTAAATATATAAAATAAATATCAAAAATATAAGTCTTTGTTTTACTATGGTTGCAAATATCAAAAAATTTCTATATGTGACACGGCACCAGAGTTAAGTTAGGGTTTTTCAAAATGCTGACACGCCGAGCTCAAAAGGTTCGCCATCACTGGGATAGGGAGTGAATGGGGTCCTAACATATAGTGATGGGAGAAGATTTGACTTTGGGTGGTGGACGCACAGTGCAATGTACAGATCTTGTAACATAGAAACCCACACCTAAAACCTATATGATCATATTAACCAATGTCACCCCAATAAATTTAATTAAAAGGGGGGAATAAAACATATGGAAATGTTAAGAGTATATAGATCCTTTAACCTGGCAATTCCACATAAGGGATTTATCTAATACATATACTATCACATACACTTACTTATTCATCACATAACATTCCACATATGTGCAAAAATATATGTACAAGGATATTCACTGAAAAATGGTGGTAAAAATAGAGTACAAACAACCTTAAAATTCATTAGTAAGGGACTAGCTAAATGACATATTTGTGAGAAGAATGTTTACAACAAGTTCGTTAATTATTTAAGTTCTGGAACTTGGTTTTGTTTTTTAATAGTGATAAGAATGGTGCAGTACTAGGAAAGTTATGGAAAATGCTGTCAATTTTACTTTAAAATGAGAATCTGGTGTTTCTGTATTTTATTGTTTTCAGTAAAACTTCATATGTGTTTTGGACTTTTTGAGAGAAAGAAACTGTACAGCCTATTTTAAAAATCAAGTAGACCTATAAGTATTGATGCAGATTCTACATCACTGTGGGAAAATCACCAAAATCTTTTGTTAACTGAAAAGCATGGTGCAGACAGTGTTAACAGTCTGTTTCTATTGTTTTAAAGAGAGAGGGATGGTATGTACACATACATGTACATGTATACACATACAAACACTTGCATAGTCACAGAATATCTCTGGTAGACTACACAAGAAACTGGTATGAGTGGTGATATCTGAAGGACAAGGGGTCAGAAGTAAAAAAGAGACTCACTGAATTTTTTCTACCATATGCATATACTAGCTTTTCAAAATAATTATTTCTTGCCTTTTTGAGGCCATGTTTATTGTTTTATGCAATATGAATGTTAGCAGAATCCTAGGTTTGCTCTTAATAACTGCATTTTAAAACCTGTTTTTCACAATGAATATTTTCATTTTATTTGAAAATGAAATAACATAGAAAGGTATACTGTAAAGTCTCCTTCCCACCTGTGACTCCCATCTCTGCAGTTTTCCCCCACCAGAGATAACTACTGTCATCAGTTTCTTATATAACTTCAGAGTTTCTCTATGCATATACAAGCAAATACAAATCTCTACTATCTTCATCCTTTGCCCTTTTTTCACAGATAGTTTACTATTACATAAACAATTTTTGCACACCTGGCTACTTTCACTTAGTAACGTACCTTAAAACCAAAATCACAAGGCACAATAAAAAACCAACCTGGACATATTCATAATTAAATACTCTGGGCTTCAAAGGATACCGTCAAGAAAGTTAATAGAGAATCCACAGAATAAGAGAAAATATTTGCAAATTATTTATCTGTTAAGGGACTGGTATCCAGAATCCAGACACAAAAGGCCACATATTGTATGATTCCATTGGTAGAAAATGTTCAGACTAGGCAAATCACTAGAGAAAAACTAGATTTGTGGTTGCCTAGGGTGAGGATGGTGGGGTTTGGGGAGAAATGGGGTGCATGATATCTTCTTGGCTTAACGAAAATGTTCCACAATTGTTGTGACAGATGCACAACTCTGGAAAACCAATAAACTATATAAATAGGTGATCTATATGATATGTGAATTATATCTCAGTAAAACAGTTTAAAAAATTAATAACTTGTATGATAAAAAGCACCAAAAGCAAAGACAGGAGAACACATACACACTGGAAATAAATTGCAGTTCACATCAAAGACAAAGCCTTTTTTTCTTTAATTTATAACAAATTCCTGGAAATCGATAAGGACAAGAACCACAGCCCAAAAGAAAAATGAACAGAGGATATGAAAAGAAAATATTATAAATGTTTGTGAATTATGAAAGGGTTTGCAGCACAAAAGTTTTTTTTAACCTTGATGATGTTCAATTACAGACATATACACACACACAAGACTTATTTATTTATGTGTTTTTATTTATTAGCACCATGCTCTAACCAACTGAGCCAACCGGCCGCCCCATGTGTTTTTATTTATTTGTTGTTGTCATTGTTTGGGTTTTTGACGTCATATCTAAGAAAGCTTTGCCTAACCCAAGGTCCCAATGATTCACACCCATGTTTTAGCTCTTACATTTAGTTCTACGATCCATTTTGAATTCATTTCTGTACATGGTATAATAAAGAAAGAAGTTACTCTGTATGTAGCCAAATTTAACAAATTTTTGTTATATGGCTTCTGAATTTTCATAGTTAGAAAGGGCTGCTGCACTCCAAGATTATAAAGAAATTCTATGATTTCCTAGGGTACACTTATGGTTTTCCCTTTTTACATTAAATCTCTAACTCCTTTATAATGTATCCTGGTATACAGTATGAGACACATATCCAACTTTTCTTTTCACCATGGCTTGCCAGTTGTCCATTGTCATTTATTGAATAGTCCATCTTTTTCCCATTGATTTGAAATGCTGCCTTTATCATATATTTTTAAAAAATTAAACAGAATAATAAAAATAAAGTATAAATGGAAGAGTAAATGTGCAAGAGTAGACAAGGAAATAAGACTGGAAACACATGGGCCCCATGCTATCATTTGGGGTAGAAGAAGCTCTTTCACAACTTTCCCAATTTTGTTTCCATGGTTACTGATCTATTTAGATTTACTATATCTTCTGGAATTAGTATTAGCCATTGCATTTTCCCAGAAAATCACCCATCTTGGCTTTCAAATGTATTGCAAGGAGTTGTACAAAGTACTTCTTATCATTTTTTAAAATGTCTTCATATTACTAGTTATGCTCATTTTCTCATTTAAGACTACATTTTTATGTTTTAGTCCTTTATATTCTTAATTTGGTTTATATATCTATTTTATTTTATTTTTCCAATAATACCTACTTGTTTATTTGTTGAGTCCACAGGATTTGGTTTTGTAGTTAATTAATTTCTGGATTTTTTAACATTATTGATTTATTCCTTCAGTTTCCTCTAGGTTTATTGTTCTTTTTCTAGCTCATTGACTTCAAAGCTCAATTCACTTACTTTTATTTTCAGTTTTAAATTACTGTTATTGAATTTATTGGGTGACATTAGTTAATAAAATTATACAGGTTTCAGGTGTACAATTCTATAATATATTATCTGTACATCGTATTGTGTGTTCACCACCCCAACTCAAGTCTCCTTCCATCACCATTTATCCCTTCTACCTCCCCTACTCCCTTCCCTCTGGTAATCACCATACTACTGTCTGTGTCTGTGAGGGTGGATTTTTTGTGTGTTTGTTTGAATTTGCTTAATCCCTTCAATTCATTTACCTTTAAATCTCACTTTTTTATCCAATCATATCATATGTACTTTATACCCACCTATGTGGTTTGCATATTACAAATAAATTGTATTATTTATATAAAAAGAGGGAGGAGAAAGGGAGAGAGAGAAAAAAAGAGAGAGAGATTACAAGAAGACAACATTTCAAAAAAATCAAAATAATTGACCAGGGCCAGAACTAAGATGAAGTAAGACGCATTCACTTTGGATGCAAAATTTAATAGGATGCCAAAAAAACCAAACAACTCAGTAATCAAGACACATAATATTTTTATGCAATATTTTGGAAAATCAAATTAGAAAATTATGGCCTGCAAGTTGGCTGCCTATTTTATCAATAAAGTTTTATTGGAACCAGGGCCAAGATTAGGGTAAGGTGAATGAGGCAAGGTTCAGCAAGTGTAAGAGTGGATCTCACCTTTCTAAACAATCTTAATATTTTGGTCATCATCGATTTGTGTACTAATTTTTATTTTTAAAAATATGACATTAAAAATGAATCTCAATTACTGAGATTTTGGGCATCCTTTAAGTTATAAACAGAAGTAAGTTGCTTCACTTGCCTCACCCAAGACTGAACCCTATAATTGACTCTTAGTGTCATTATTTTCCAAATTCCTCAAAATAAGCATGAATTACTTTGATCATCAGGAAAAAAATAAGTTAAAAAAGACGTCAAGACTCACTCAATGATGTTCCTAGTGGTTTCACCATAGGGCTTGCAGGAAATAAAAACTAGTGTGCAGATGGCCCTGCAGTTTCGAATGGCTTGAACCACCTGGTAATCTGAAGGCAGAAAGACATTGCTATTAATATAATTAAACTATCATGATCTGGGTTATCACAAACTCTCAACTGGCCAGCACCTAGAATTGGTGAGGAATAGAGGAGAAAAATGGTTCAGAGCCAGTCCAATGGGGGCACCGTTAACGTGGTGTGGGAATGGGGCTAAAGCTAGGGAACATCATGGGAACATCCAACCAGTTCTAAAGCAGGAAAGCTATTCATCCTTACGCAGTCCTGCCCGGGCTGGGTTTACCACAGCAACAATTAACTGCCCATTTTCCTTTGACTTTAGCAGCTGTGGCAAAATCTTCTCTGCTTGACCAGCGTAGAATTCACAGTTGGTGATGCCTGCAGAAGAGAGGCCCACATGACATAAATGAAAACTCATGCCCACCAGTGAGGTGCAAGGAGCTTTAGCTTTATAGAAATGTACAGGAGCCAGGGCTCTGCCATCTCCCTTTGGACCTAGCATACCTCTGAATAACAATGAAAGAAATGCTTCTGGACCTGCTTCATTTTTCCAACGTGCTTTCCCTTGCAATATCTCAATAAGCCTTTCCGCTTGAGAGGCTAGACAGTGTTATTTTGTAATTGTGTGACTCACACAGCACATAAGGACCTATTCCAAGAAGAGAACCTTGACTTTTACTCAAGTGCTTTTCTGTTATTGAAGGTTTTCACACAGAGCCACCAGAGTTGTGTGAAGGTGTGGTAGGGGGACAAAAAGATCCGTTTTCTATATTGCAGTTTGGCATAAGATTTTGTTCAAAGAAAAGATTCTGTTGCTAAAAATAGTTTGAAACCTATTGTATTATGTTCTGGTGCCTCATGAGTCTAATGTCAAGAGGCTCTTCTATATTATCCAAAGTTGTGACAAGTTCCCCTGCTATCAGTTAGGCTTATTTCTTCCCTCAGGCTCTGCTTCTAGACAGAAGAAAAGATTTAGCTATTGGGATCTTTCAGAAAACCATCAGGACCCAACTCTGACCACTCCAGAACACCCTCTCTTACTCCCCACAGGTCATGGATACAGTATAAGCCCTTTCCCCCAAGTAACAGTTTTCATAGCATAGAAACAACTGTAGCTCTTCATTTTTCCCCAGACTGAGAGCAGTGTACCATTGAAGGCTGCAGTCCACCTGGCGTCCTCTACCGCCTGCTCCACCAATTCAATCCCAAGGACCTGGGAGGTATATTTAGCCAGAGAGAGACCAATCACACCTAGGGAAGTAAGAGAGAATGAGAGGAGGGTATTTTAGGGTTTTAAACTAATGAGTTTATGCCTGCACCACTACCATCACCTCCCCACCCCAGACCTAATGTGCTGGGTGAATGGAGTTTGGGAGCTAGACAGCATGTAGATTCGGCCCTGGGCTACCACTTACCAGTTCCACAGCAGATATCAAGGAGGATGGTGTTAGAGTTCACTCCACTCAGCTTCCCTATGGTCCGATACAGCATCTCTGCACCAGCAGTGTTAATTTGGAAAAAGGCATCTGGAGAGATGCGGACCTTCAAGCCCAAGAGCTCTTCAAAGATGTGGGGTTCCCCAAAAAGGAGCTGGAAGGGGGACTGCTGATGGCTGCAACGGGTCCTGGTGCTGGAAAAGAATTTTTAAAAAAGCATCTTGGAATGGTAGACCATTTTCTCTCTAGTGGTTGGTTGGAGAGGGAGGCCCTAGCATCTCATTTAGGAGGCACACGCTCTATGGCATGGCCCTGAGAGCTCTGTAGGAGTTCCCCTCTCATGGGATGGAGATACATGCAAACACTCTCTCATCTACAGTCTGGCCTGGGTTCCTGGACCTGCATGGTGTATGAGGACCAATACCACTTAGCCCTGATCCACCATAATCAGCAGCCCTGCCACAGCAATCCCCAACCCAGACTATGGCAAGCCATCTGCCTCGTGCTTGTTTGGCTGTCCCAGATTTACCTTTCCTGGAAGTACAGTGATGTCAAGTTACAGACTGCTCCTGGACCTCTGATGAAAAACTCCTTTACAGTTTCCTTCTGAACACAGAGCTCCTCCTGCCCAGACCACAAAATTAGGGATCAAGCAAAGACTCATCTCTGACAAGTTTTCTCTCCTGGCTCCACAATCATCAGCCCTGCAGTAGTCACACAAGAGGGCACATTTCTCTAATCCTATTATAAATAACACTTAACATAAAGCAATGTTCTATAGGACAAAAAATAATTTATTTTCACATCTCAGTAGAAGCATCGCTTTCCTTGCTGGCTTTTGACAAATCCTATAACATAGATACACACTTTCTCTAGTCTGAGCCCCTTTAAAGAAAGTGTGAGTTATTCTTGTAAACAGGAGCTAAACTAAGCTTTTGTCCCATCACAAAGAAGCAATAACCTTTCAATTCCCTTCATACTTCTCCATTTCAAACATCCCAACCACTCACCCAAACACCACCTCAGAGGACATGAGTGATAGGAGAATGAAAAGTGCTAGGAAGAGAAGGAGCATGGTAACTGAGTCCTTTATTTGAGTTCAGAACATTTTACAATGCCTACATCACTACAGAGTCTAACCATTAGCTTAACACAAGGATATATCACAATAAACTATGTTGGAGCTATAGAGTTAAAAGGCCAGGAATTAATGACTTGGGTTCAAACCCTAGCCTGGCTATTTTCTGGCTCTGTAACCTTGGGTACTTATATGCCTCCATTTGCCCATTTGTGAAATGAGGATGACAATACAGTGGGGCCTTGACTTACGAGTTTAATTCGTTCCGTGACGGAGCTCGTAACTCAAATTACTCGTATGTCAAATCATTAAAGTGAACGAGTGAGACACGTGATGCTGGGCTGATGTTGTGGCGTTCACTGTGACGTTCTCTGCGCCAACTAGCAGTGGGGTATCTGAAGCTGGCTCGTAACCCGAATTTTAGCTCGCAACTCAAAGCAAAAAATCGGCCGAGAGACGGCTCGTATCTCGAAAAACTCGTTAGTCGGGACACTCGTAAGTCAAGGCCCCACTGTACCTCTCCTTCTCCCATGTACTTCACAAGTGGGTTAAGATGATCACACAAGTACAGGAATATTTTAACGTGTGAATGTTTGAAAGCTCCAAGTGCATTACAAATGTAAAGTAATTTTTGGGTTATGACATTTTGACTATATTCTAGTCTCTATTGAATTGGTTTTTGGATTTAGTAGAGCACCTACTAACTTCCATGGGCCAAATTCTTATGAAAATACTTAGGGGTCCTCACATGATAATTAACTTGGTAACCTGGCCTCAGTCTCCATGGTTTGATAATGCTGTGAGCATTATCAACCCCTCTTCCCAACCCACACAGATATTCTGTGGATGTGCAGTTCCTGCTATCTGCTCTGAAACTTCCAAAAGCCAACTGTAGCACAGTAGTGGTAGGGGTTGCTATGGAAGCTGCCCAGTATCATCCTGTGAGTCTCACCTGACTTAATTCCTGGGGATGGAAAGTAATGATGGCCATTGTGTGCCCTTGGCTATTGGTGCGGACTGTGAGCTCACGCCAGTGTCCACCTTCATGAAACAGAAGGCAGGGCTCCAATGGGGACTGTCGAAGGAATACTTCATAGTACTAGGAAGAAAACACTATTATTACACAGGCAAAACTAACAAGTTACACAGATGATTATTTATGCTGAGTGATTGTTATGGACCGCATTGTAACCCTCCCCTCCAATTCACATATTGAAGCCCTAACTCCCAGTACCTCAGAGTGTGACTGTATTTGGAGATAAGGTCTTTGAATATTTTTATCGATTTCAGAGAGGAAGGGAGAGGAAGAGAGAGATAGAAACATCAATGATGAAGGAGAATCATTGATCAGCTGCCTCCTGCATGCCCCACACTGAGGATGGAGCCTGCAACCCGGACATGTGCCCTGACCAGTAATTGAACCATGACCTCCTGGTTCATAGGTAGACTCTCAACCACTGAGCCACACTGGCTGGGCTAAATTGCCAACATCTTGATCTCAGACATTGCCTTCAGAACTATGAAGAAATAAATTTCTGTTGTTTAAGCCACCTAGTTTGTGGTATTTTGTTATGGAAGCCCTAGCAAACTAATAAAGTAATATAAGAAACATGATCCCTGCCCTTTCACCTTACAGAAGGACATAATCCATTGTATTCCAAACAGTAAGCTGCAGGAAGGCTTAGAGTTGTATCCTTAGTCTGGCACATAATAGTTGCTCAATAATTATTACTGAAAGAAGGCATGAATGAACAGGAAAGGTATTTTATTTGTATGTACAATCTAAGATTATTCTATATATAGTATGGAATACAATAATCTTCCATTTCTGTGAATTTCTCCTGGCAGCAATTCTTAATTTACTACTCAGATGCTATGATTCTATTCCTACCTATAACTTCCTGATGCAAGCCCATGTATTTCTATATATAACCAGGTACCAACTATAGCATAGTTTAGTCGGCTCCTTCATTTCCTCCTGGTGAACACAAGTCAAATACAAGCTTGTTGCTGCCACAACAGGACACATTGTCTGATTTGCTAGGTCCTTTTGTGTTTAAAATACATGTATTCTAGGTCCACTGTATTTTCAAACAATCCCAAAATTATGTATAGAAGGGGAAGTTATACCAAAAAACAGTGCTGCCTTAGAGGGTAAAAATCAATTAAGGCTACACTTTATCACTTTTGCTATATCACATAAATGCAATATAATATATGCCTATCAATACTGAACGTATTTTTCAAATTTTGAGGTTGGTGATTTAAAGAAAAACTTGGTTCAATTGTTGTTTACTGGCTGGTGGGTAAATAATTTTTTATTTTTGAAAACAAGATTCAAATGTCACTGAGGTCCTGGAAGGACAAGAAATTGAAAAACTGAGTCAGACCTGGAAGATAGTGGGTAAGTAAATATGAAATACAGCCTCTCCACGGTATGAGCTCAAGCCTCGGTATCTTCATTTATAAAATAGAGACTGAGATTCCTTTTCTCATATGGAAATAGGTATTAATAGTGAAGGGAACTATAATCATATTGTAATATATAAATGTATCAAATCAACACATTTACACCTTAAATTTACCAATGCTATATGTCAATAATATCTCAATAAAAATAAATTTTAAAAGGAGTGAAGGGGCCTTCTGGTTAAAAAAAAAAATAATAGCCCTCCTAAAAATCCTACGTGGTCATGAAGTTTCAGGGATAAAGAGACTCCCTAAAAGCTTCTAGAGGAAAAAAAAGAGGGGAGAGAATATCTACGACATTGGAGGCTAGATAACAATGAAACCATATCTTCATATTTATAAAGGCAAATGATTCAAACCCAGAATTTGAAATCTAGAAAAATCTCAGTCATATGTCAGGAAAGAAAAAAGACATTTACAGACATGCCAAGACACTAAAACTTTACCTCCTAGGCACCCTTCCTCAGGAAGCTAACGGAGGTTGTACTCCAGCTAAATGAGGTGTAACCAGAAAAAGGAAGACAGGGGATCTAAGAAACAGGGGAGACAGGACAGAACAGCAAAGGGGGTCCCAGGATAACAGCCATGCAGAAGACCTCGGGAGCCTAGGATGGAAAACTCGTAGGAAAAGGTCTTCAGGGGAAAAACTGAACTCAAGTTTTTAAGCATATGGAGAATATTGATGAATGTTTGACAAAGCTTTTAAAGGATCTGGGGAAAAAATAGCAATAGGTTCATAGAAAACTAAGCCAATTGAAAAATGAGATAATTATTCAGGCCAATATAAACTAAAAGTTGCTGGGCCAGTGTAGCTCAGTGGTTGAGTGTTGACCTATGAACAAGGAGCTCATGGTTTGATTCCTGGTCAGGGCACATTCCTAGGTTTTGGGCTCAATCCCCAGTAGGGGGCGTGCAGGAAGCAAATCATCAATGATTCTCTCTCATCATTAATGTTTCTATCTCTCTCTACTTCTCCCTTTCTCTCTGAAATCAATGAAAATATATTTTTAAATGACAACAAGAAAAACCTAAAAGTTGTAAAATCCATCATACCATATGGAACTACGCAGCTATAAAATGAAGTATCTATATATATAAAAGCCTAAGTGACTGTTAAGACCAGTCACTATGACGCGCACTGACCATCAGGGGGCAGACGCTCAATGCAGGAGCTGCCCCCTGGTAGTCAATGTGCTCCCACAGCCAACCTCCCATGGCCAGCCAACCTCCCATGATCCCTTCCCTGGCTGGCTAGCCCTGATTGGCCCAATAGCCGGCCAGGCCAAGGGACCCCACCTGTGCACGAATTCGTGCACCGGGTCTCTAGTATTATTATATATTAAAAAAAACCAAGGTGTGAACCAAGATGGCGGCATAGGTAAACACCTGAACTTGCTGCTGCGCACAACCACATTAAAACTACAACTAAAAGACAAAACGAATATCATCCAGAACCACAGGAAGGCTGGCTGAGTGGAAATTCTACAACTAGAAGGAAAGAGAAAAGCGCATTGAGTCCGGTAGGAGGTG